CCTGCTGGCCACAGGATGAGATTCCCCACAGACCCGCCCCCAACCCCATATCATTGTGTCTCTTAGTCTGCTCCTGTTTCTCTGCCAGGATGATGGTTCCTAAAACCACTCCCCTTTCCTTGATGGCTGTTGTGCAGAACTGGTATTTCTTAACAGGTTATAGGTCCTGAGTCCATGGGTAGGATTTTCACCTTTCCCCAGAGCAGATAATGGCACTCTGTCCATGGCAAACTGCCTTTTTTGAGTTTCAGGGGCCCTGCGGTCTTCGGAGGCTCATGCGTATGCCTCAGGAGCCCAAGGGGACCAAGAGGAAAGGGGCAGAGGTAGCAACGTCTTTCCTCTTTGCATCAGGGAACAAAGAGCAAGGGGAAGCTGGGTTCTAAGCTGGATCTAGCTCCCCCTGCAAGAGGAGCCTGCTGCCTCTCCTGCCTCCTCGAACCCCTCTTGACCACTGCCAGGTTTGGTAGGACTTGATGAATAGACGGGTAACCCCCAGGCACCAGCAACCTTTCTTCCCCAGCGTGCCTCCAAGCTGCACCTCGACCCAGGAATGAAGCTGGGCAATCAAGAGGGTGCCTGGCTGGTGGCCAGCTGGGGGTCAGGGAGAAAGGCGATGGGGGGGGGAGGACTTAGCTGCTTGGTGTGAGAGGAGGCTTTTAAGGATGTTGCCAAGGCAACAGGGTGGGGGGGAGGAGGACTTGCGGCTCCGAGGGAGGGAAGATGCAGGAGGACCAGGTGTGGGGCCCAGTGGGAGGGTGGGCTGCAGAAAGGAGTGGGGGAGGCAAGGGCATCCTCTGTAGAGCAAGCGAGGGGGGGGGAGAGAGAAACAGCAAAGGGAGGTGTGTGCATCAGCGCCTGTAGGATAAACAGGGGCGGGAGGGTGATCTCGAAGAGGAAGGAATTACTGGGAGGGAGGGAATCCTAGGAGCGTGGGGTGAAAGAGAAGGGAGTTGGAGGGGGACTGATGCTGAATAAAACAGAGACATGGGGGTTGAAAGGAGATGGTTTGTGTCTTTAGGTCTTTGACCCTCCTCTTGGCCTGAGTCCGGGCTCTTTGGCCACCTCCTCACTTTCTGCCTTTTTGATGCCAGCTTGTTGTTAGGTGAAACTGGCACTTTGTGCCTACCCATCCCTCCCTCCCTCCCTCCTTCTCCCCCCCTCGGCATCCGTTTGTGACAGTATGTGCGAGGCCACCCCCCAAATTCCCCCCTGGTGCCCTCCAGCTCCCAACGGATGGAGACCCCTGTGCCAGACCTTGCCACACAGCTCAGTTACCAGGATGATAGGTGGGGCGCGCCATCCCCCATCATCCTCGCTGCTGGGCGGTTCCTGCCTGTTGGCCCCCTCCTTTCCCCTTGACTCCAAAGTGCTCTTGCAAGTAGCAGTGAAGAGGAGCCAGCGAGCGAGCGAGCGCACCCTCCTCCAGGGCTTCTCAATGCTCCTGAAGGTGTGCGCTTGCTATCAAGCACATGCCAAGCATCATCTGGCAACCTATCTCTGCCTCCCCTTCCCCTCCCCTCCTCTTTTGTTGGAAACTGGGTCAGTATGCCGTCATCCTCACCACCCTTCCTCCGTGCATCCTTCCCGCTGCCTGCCTAGGTGAGGAGAAGGCCTGACTTCCAGAGCAGAAAAGGAGGAGGAGACCGCTGGGAATTACTGGGACCCGATGGAAGGGCCCGGAGGCCATGATATGCCTTCCCGAGACTTAGTGCACCCCCTCAGCAGCCGTTGTTGCCTTTCCCCACTTCCACCCCGATCCCCAGTTGCCTCCAGCACACAAATGTTCTCTTTGAAAGAGCCCGAAAAACCCACAACAACCGTTAGATCCCGGCCGTGTAAGCCTTCGCGAATACATTATCTTCAAAACCTTGCATTTCATCAATTAAACACTCCTTGTGCCTCTTGAGTCAACAGAGAGCCACCAGAGAGAGAGAGAGAGAGAGAGAGAGAGAGCAACTATGTTTAGGCCAAACTAACCCCAAGAGAGAGAGAGAGAGAGAGAGAGAGAGAGAGAGAGAGAGAGCTTCTCTCCTGCCAGCGCTGGTTCTGTTTTTCCTGCCCCCTCTGCCAGCCTCCTTGCCTTCCTAAGGAAGAACGAGCCCTCTGGGCAAGTTGGTAGCCTCCGCCTGTTGAATGTCAGAAACCTCTGAGTGGCAGGCTGCGAGGTCCCGCTGTCGGGCAGGACGCAGCCTTGCTGGGCTCACAGAGGCTTCCCACTACAAACGCAGACAGGGCATTTTGCAAATGCACTTCAGTCCAGGCTTGGGTTGTGGATCGGACGGTCAACCCTTCGCTGTCCCTTGGGACAGGTCCAAGCCTGCCCTGATCCTCCATCCTCCGGAGAAGGCCACTCCGTTCCTCCACCCTTGGCCGTGCTGGGATTGGGGACGGTGGCTTCACAGGGTCTGAGGACTGCTCCCCTCCCACACACTCTTGCAGTTTAGGCATTCAAATCCAAGACTGAACCATCGTGGCTGTGGGAGAACGAGCCGTTTATGCTGGAAGCGGGTTGTGGTTGACTCTGCAGGTTTTGATGGCGTTCTGCTGGTCTTAAGGCTGCTGTGCATTATTAACCGGCCACTTCACATGGGGTTGGTAGTGAAACACATGTCATTTAATGCAAACTGCTTTCGAAATCTTGCTTGAAAGGCAGGGTGTGCATTTGTGTGGCATATGTATAAATGTATGGCTGGATAGCTCCATGAACTAGGTATCTCTCTGCGGAGTGAGAGATTGGGAGATCAATCCTCCTGATGCACAACGTGCTGGCAAAAGTGCTTCGGGGACAACTCGCCCCCCTTGGCTGTAGTGCAACTGCTTAATGCACACCTTTGCATTTGCCGTCTGCAATGGTGCCATAGGAATGTGGTCAGTGTGTGTATATAATGCATGTATGTGCATGTGTATGTTATAAAAATATACATATAATTTTAATGAGCATGGGATTTGGAAAAGACTGTCTAATAAGCAAATTTGATGAGACCCCCCTTGGTAAATTTGGGGGCTTTCTGTTCCCCCTGGCTGGATATCTGAGGCCGCCAGGCTCTCTATAAATCTGGCTCAGTTGGTTATAGTTAGCTTCCATTGAACTGAATGGGCCTCCAGCTTACCTCTTTGAGATACAAGCTGGCCTTATGTCCGACACACGGTAGGAAACGGCACATTTCCCTAACAGCATTGATCAGTCACTGTATAATCAGCACCGATAAGCATCATCCTCCAAAGCAACACATGCAGTGGTGACCGAAATCCTGCTGGTTTAAGAATAGAGTTAAAGCTTATTTGTGTTGGCTCACGGTGTGCCCCCTCGTGAAAAGAAGGGCAGGGTTGTTAGGGTCCCTCTCCAGAGGCTTTTGGGGGCAGAGCTGGTGTTTGGAGAGGGGCTGGATTTAGGAAGCTGCAGTCCGTCAACACCTGAAGGACACCCCCCCATCCCATCAACGTAGACCATACATCTGCTGTACGAGGGGGAGACCATCCTTGTTGACCTTCCCAGCCTTTCACTCGCTGTTCCTGCTCAGGAGGGAGAGGGGAGAGTTGAAGGCGAAGCCATCTGTATTCCTTGTTTGAGGATGGGGGCAGGGAGGGAGAAAAGCCCTGGCTGGCAGTTGTTTGCTGACGGCTGGACAGATGTTCTCCAAACTACAGGCTGGCCCTTGGCTGGCCTTCGCTTTCTCCCCGACCAAACAGACGGTTGTTTTTACGACTGGATTTCTGCTAGACGGGTAGATATGTTCCAAGGTTGTAGTAGAGCGGCTGACTTTCTCCTTCTCCTGCTTGTGGAGAATGCCGTAGTAAATTTAGGAGGATCGAAACCAACTATTTTAGATACATTTGGGGGGGGGGGTTGTCCAGAGAAGTAGATTGTGATCCACAAGACTTCACACGGAAATGGTGTCATGGATCTAACTGAAAAAGTGGGTTGCAGTCTACTGAAGTGCCACAATATTTGAGTTTTCATCTTCATGCTTCTGATATTTCCCTTGGGGCCTTTCTGGTGGATGGTTGCATTCCCATTGATCCCTCTAGCTTGTCCTGGTTCCACGTTGGCTCTTCATGCGCCTGCATGCGCACACACCCTCTGGCTTTGTTTGTTTTTCCCCAGACTGGTCTTGCCCCCAAGGGATTTGAGCTTCTCCTTCAGTGATTTATGCACGATTCCTTAGGGTTGCCCTGGAGCCCCTTTTCATCCCTGTAATTTCTGCTCCATGTCTCTGGCACACTCTGGTTTGTATGTGTGGGTGGGTGGGGGTGGGGGACACACACAGATTTTCCATGTCGCAGGGGTTGAGAGACAGGTGGGTGGCTTGTCCAACCTTTGGAGCAAGGAGCAGCCCTTCTGACTGTCAATCCTGGTGGCTTCATGACCGCCAGCTCTCCAGTTTTCTTGTCCAGAAAACGATGCTTTGGCCATTTGGGCTATTGGTTTGCGCTGCTTCTCAGAGCTAGCCTGTGAAACGTTGGTCCGGTAGGCAGGAAATGCAAATATCCCCCTTCCTTCTCTACAACCTCTCCTTCATGAGCTTGGTTGAAACAAACCGGAGCAAGTCTTGTTTCAGCCAAAGGACATTTGACTTCTCCGCATTCAGACTTCCTATCTAGCCTTTGTGCCCACCTAGCTAGCATTGGCTGCTCTGACTGGCAGCAGCAGAGAGACTGTGTGTGTGTGTTTTCTGGAGGGGTGGGGTAGGGGACATATTTCCTGCTCCTTTGCTACCTGGTGCCATTTGCTTTGGTGCAAAGAATATCCCCAAGAGTTGCATCCCATGGTTGAGTCACCCCCTGTTTCTCTCCCACCCTGCCATTCTTAAGGTCAGCCCATGGCCTCGCCATCTCAGGCAGCAGCTTTAAGGTCACCCCAACCCCATCCGAGTCTTTGGGAGTGCGTGCGTGCGTGCTCCGAAGCAGTCCTTGCCTTTGGACCAGAGGGGGGGACCTACCTCCTGACCTGTGTCTACCCGAGCAGGAGAGGGCCTCACGGCAGTGCGTTTTCCTTCTAGATCTCCGATATCTACATCAGCGGAGAGTCCGGTGACATGTCCGCCAAGGAAAAGCTTCTCCTCTGGACGCAGAAAGTGACCGCCGGCTACGTGGGGGTGAAGTGCACCAATTTCTCCTCCTGCTGGAGTGACGGAAAGATGTTCAACGCTATTATCCACCGATACCGGTAGGAGGGCATGCCGCTCTCTCCCCCAAGCCCTAGAAGGACCCCCACCGTTTGTAAATTCGTTGTCTGCAGAAATTAAAACCCTGTGGTTGGGTTGGCAATCTTCAACTCACGTTTTGGGATTTCTCATTAAGAAATTTAATTTTCAGGACACTTAGCAGAAAAAACAATTGGCAAGTGCACCCATATACAGTATAGAGAGATGTAAAGCCACACTTTTCTCCTCTCTCCTGCAGACCGGATCTAGTGGACATGGAGAGAGTTCAGATTCAGAGCAGCCGAGAGAATCTGGAGCAGGCCTTCGAGATTGCCGAGCGGCTCGGGGTCACCCGATTGTTGGATGCAGAAGGTACATTTTTTTGGGGGGGGACGGGAAATGGCAGTGAAGGCGTTTTTGGCCCTGTGGAGGCCTCTTCTCTCATTGCGCCTCTCTGTACAAGGAAAAGGGTCTAGCTTTTCTCCTGTGCCAGAGAAGAGGCAGATTGGTTTCTCCTGCTTCTGTGCAGGAAAGATGGTGCTTCTTTCAGCAGCAGAGAGAGGTAGCCTTTCCACAGCACCGAGAATCCTCACTCTTATCTCCATTCGGTGATTAGAGAAAAGAGCAAGGATTGTTCACCAAGCTTTAGAGCAGTGGTCCCCAACCTTGGGCCTCCAGATGTTCTTGGACTTCAACTCCCAGTAATCCTGGCCAGCAGAGGTGGTGGTGAAGGCTTCTGGGAGCTGTAGTTTAAGAACATCTGGAGGGCCAAGGTTGGACAAGCCTGCTTTAGAGGAATGCTGCTCAATGCCAGAAGAAAGTTTTCTGTCATGCTGGGAGAGGAAAACCAATTCTTATCTCTGATCACTGATCGGAGATAAGAGTTAGGCAGCCTTGCCCTATGCCGTGGAAGAGCCATCTTCGAACAGGGAGAGAGGGCACAACCTTGGATGTCGGATTATTATTGTGGGTTCATCCTTGTGGGTTGGATGGCAAGGGTCCATGGGGCAAAAGATTAGGAACTTGAAGTTATTAGGTTTCCTACGCTCGCTAACACTTATCCACCTTTTCCTTGGGAGCCTGCGGTTTGAAGTTACTCGTGGGGCTTTCAGACAAAGGTACACAAGCTGGGGGGGGGAAGTGAGCCGGGGGAGAGAAGCAAATGTCTTCCTTCCCCAAAAAGAGGAGAAGCGTTACTGCAAGTCTGGTCTGGTCCAGGCTGTGCAATGCCAAACAAGCTTCCCAGTCCTCACCCCCCCCAAAAAAAAATTCATGGTGCTGGAAAAATGTGAATTCTTGCTGGGATAAGCCTTGCCAAGCCCTTCAGTGCCCAAGTTGGCAGCAAGGCTGGTTGTTTTTTTGCACTTGCCGGTTCACCACCCCGGCCACGGCAACCAGAGGGGGGGAGGACACCCTTCCCTAGATGGACGAAGTGAACGTGATGGAAACGTTCTACCTGAGCACCACCTGGAAAGGCAAAGGTGGGGGAGAGAAGGTAGGGTGAACAACCGCTGGCCCTTCTTGAGGTGACCGTATCATATAGGAAAGCGGGCAGGCCGTGGGCACCTCTCGATGGAGCTGCTTGGATTAAAACAAAGAGGTTTGGACTGAGGGGTCTCGTCCCCCTTTGAAGACTTTGATCCTTGCATCCGAGACTTTGCATTCCAAGCCCAGCGTTAATGTGCTTCAGAATCAGACCTGCATGGCTTTTTTGGGGTGGGGTGGGGGGTGGGACCCCTTCAGGCTGCAGGTGGTGAGCTTTGCATGTTTAGTCACATCCAAGACTGCAAGCCAGCCTTCTTCTTCACATGCGTGCAGGGAGTTAATTTGTCAAGTTCCCTTTTGTGCAACACTGAAATAGCAACAGCGAACTACAATTTCTTGGTACTCTCCCGGAACTGGTGATATCCAGCACGATGAGGTGGAATTCTCCTCCACTGTAGGCTGCAATTTAATTTTTTGAGTGGTTCAACAAAGGTAATCAATCAGTTCTTTCATCAGTATAATCCTAAGAACCACACAGCCTTTTCCTGATTCTTAATGAAATACTGAGTTGCTTGAATGGTGTTATATAACACCTTCTCCCCCCCCTTTACGCTCTCCCCAGTCCATCACTTTGAGTGTTTCATTCCCTTTTCCTTTCCTCCAGATGTTGATGTGCCCTCCCCGGACGAAAAGTCTGTGATAACTTATGTGTCTTCAATTTACGACGCCTTTCCAAAAGTCCCCGAGGGAGGAGAAGGGATCAGTGCCACCGTAAGTTGGGCTGTGGCTTGGTCGGTCTCTATACCAAGACCCGGACCATACCTTTTTTGTATTGCATCAGATCCTAAGTCATTCAACCAAGCACCCTCCTGGCTGTACCCCCAGCATTTTCTGTTCTTGCTTCATCCCCCATTGGGATGGACCGCCTCTCCGCTTAATATTTCGCCTCCAGCTGTGCCAGGGTCTCTGATTCCTGACCATGGATTCTATGTCAGAAGCCCTTCCTTTCCCTCCCTCTTTCTGCAGGAGGTGGACACAAGGTGGCTAGAATACCAGAACAACATAGAAACACTCATCTCATGGATCAAGCAACACACATTAATGATGTCCGACAAATCTTTCCCCCAGAATCCTGTAGAACTCAAGGTAAACACGCGGGCTGCTTTTTTATGAATCAGTTTCTGGAGAACCTCTTTGTTTGGGCTGGGGCTTCTCCTCAGAGACATCACTGGCATCTCTTCTCCAAATTTAAGCCAGCTCCCTCCACCCTGGTGATGGGAGAGATCTCAGCTTCAGGTTGATTTGTGTCATGCTTTTCTGTCTCTGAATTAATTTCATCCTATTAATTTGTTTATGAGTTCAAGAAGTGTGTCGTTTCGGGATGGAAAGAGCCCTTAACCCCTCAATCGATCCAGGAGTTCCCGGGGTGGTGATGGTGGTCTCCTTTCAGCTTGTGTCATGTATAGCTTGGCGTAGAAACCAAACCTCTAGGAGTTATGCCCACTGGTGAAACTCCAGCCGCATAAAATTCAGCGGCAGGTCCTGCCCGTGTGGAGACATTAGCGGTTGAAAACCTTTCTACTTTCTTGGATCATAATAAAAGTTGACCAATCCTAGTCAAACAGATGGAATTGACCCCCAAAACTTAATGGATTTAGCTTCCAAGTAAAAACTTTAATAAATAAAATAATGTCAAGAGGAAATCACATCCTGCCATCTTCTGGATACAAACATCCAGGATGGTGTTTTTTCCCCCCTGTCAAAAGCTTGATCTTTTATTGTTTTATTGAAGTTTTTAAATGGAAGTGAAACCTGTTCAGTGGTTTGGGTCAATTCCATCTCTTTGACCGGGATTGGTCAACATTTTAGTTCGCTGTTGTTGACGGGGTTGCCTGCCTGCCTGTGCTACTTTCTTCACTTACTGCAGTTTGCAGATACAATTTACATCGGCAGAGTGGGTGCTGGTATAAAACCTCAGCAGGGTTGTGGTCGCTGTCTTCTTGTTATGTGGACATCTTGGTTGGGGAAGGAAGGTGCGATCTGGGAAGGACCCAAAACAGCCGCCGGACTTGCGGAGCTGAAATGCTCAAAATTTCTTGCTCACGTCACCGGCAGTTAGGAGTATTTGATAATGACCTCTGAGGCGGGCTTGCTGACATGGCTGTTGACTTCACACGCTCTTTCAGCCTCAGTTTTCCCCATCTGTAAAATCAGGAGAATCTTCTCTCCTCCCTTTGCTTTGTTTTGGAACTAAGCAAAGGATTTTGAGGTGGTGGTCGGGACTCTGTGGGGGAAGGGCAAAGGGCCCGGCCTCCGTGGGACCCGTCCCCTGTTTCTGGCACTCTGAAGCCATTTCCTAACAAGACTTGACTCACCTGTAGGTGAGAATAAGATGTTTTCTCCTTATGGCTTAATAGCTGTTTGATTTGTATATATTCTTTTCGCCCTGAGTAAGAGGACTCCTTAACTCCTTGTTCTTACAGGCACTTTATAACCAATATATCCACTTCAAAGAAACAGAGATCCCAGCGAAACAGCAGGAGAAAAGAAACATCGAAGAGTTGTACAAACTGCTGGAGGTAGGCGTTTGTGGGCAGACGGGTTTGTGAGCAATAAACAGTAAGGAAAGCCACGGCTTTTTTTTACAATAGGAAAAAAAAAAACATGAATAGCTTTTAAAGAATCTGGCTTCAGCATGGCATTAAAAGATATGCTGTCTGTACATTGTAAATTGCAACACAAGAGTTTGGCTTTCTATAGGATTCTAGTAGCAGCAAATATGGAATGAAATGGTCAGGGATAGAACATTAAAAGTGGACTGGCTCCTCTCTGGGAATGGCTGCATTGAGGGCAGAAGAAACAGAGCCTCGGGGATCGGCTGTTGACTCTCCCGAAGCAGACTGCCATCAAGACAGCTACTCCATCCCTCTTTGGGTCTGGCCTCTCATGACAGGAATGTAGCTAAACGCCCAACTCTTATCTCTTGGGACCAGGGTGACTGACAGTGGGGGCTGAAGGCCGTTTCTGTGGGTCCCACCCTCCCAGACAGTGATGCTGAAATTTAGCCATGAACACCTTTAAAACCTGGCAGGAAAAGTTTGTTTTAAAAGAGGTTTTCATGGCTGGCTGCCAGCTTTCAGCAGCAGGAAGAGGCAACGTGGAGCGTGTTTCAGGGTGTTGGCAGTGGGTGGGGAGATGGGTTGCAGGAAAAACACCCCACCCACCCTGTTTTGCCCACTCCTGTTTTAGATGGTACTGTCAGGACAAGTTTTACTGGAAAACTTCCCACCACTTTCCCCCCCTTGGTGAAAGTGCCTTAACTAGATGTGAATTTTTCCCCCCTAAACTGCCCATCTTCTATTGCAAAAGGTATTTTCTGGAGTTGAGAATTTATTTTTTTAACGGCAGATCTCCTGCATCCTGAGAGGTCGTTCTCATTACCCCCCAAGGAGTCTTGATTCGTTCTGTTTGTTAAAACATCTCTGAGCTGCTCTCTGTCTTTTCAGATACAAATAGGGTGCAGATTTGTTGCTGAAAGGACAGTGCGGATGCCTACACCGTACAAATAGAAAAGCAGCACATGCGGGAAATAGGCTGAACCAGCCACTTAAGTTCCTTAACGGCTTTGTACGGCTGCAGCAACCAAATGAACCTGGGGAAGGGAATACAAATCTTGGCCCCCAGAAGGGAAGGGAAAGGGAAGGAGAACCTTGGCCGAGCTGGTTTCATCCTGCATCAAGACTGGGTGAAAATATGTGCTTTCCTCTTTGTGCTTCCCAGGCCTGGATTGAGTTTGGTCGCATTAAGCTGCCACAGGGCTATCATCCTAACGATGTGGAAGAGGAGTGGGGCAAGCTCATCATTGACATGCTGGAGCGGGAGAAGTTGCTGCGGCCGGCGGTGGAAAGGTGGGTGGCGAGCGGGGAAATGCCGCGTCATGAGGATGTGTCAGCAGCGGCTGGGGTGCAGCCCTTTGCTAGTTTGAAGGAGGGTGCTCTGGAACCAAGAGAATCAGCAGTGCTTTTATAAAATGCTAGCTCCCACTAACCAGCTTTATGTGGGGATCCGAGCCCTTTGTTGGATGCGCTGAAGCCTTCCCTCCAAGTTGTAGGATGCTCAAAGTGAGGGGGATCCTCTTTGCTTTCTCTGAATGAAGCAGTTGCTTCTATCCCACGCCTGGCACAAGAGGGAGGGAGCCCTGGGGTGATGCAGCAAGCAGAGCGCAGCCTGGCCCTGATCCCTGCTAGCTTGTCGGTTGCAAACCAGTCCGCTACTGGGTTGGCGGAAGCTGTTGTGTCAAACGTCGAGACCGATCAGAAGCCATTGTGATCACTGGGGTTGACTTCAAAGGCAAACAGCTTCCCTTGGGTCCCCTTACTACGAAGCAACGGCTCTGGCTGGCAGAAAACACATTCTCATTTATTTATAATCAATAAGTAGACATAAATAATGTGTCCAGTTCCGAAGGAAATAAGAAACAGTGTCAGGTTTGCTTCGGCTGAGCATTGATGACTGGACTCTTCCTTGCAGGCTGGAGTTGCTGCTGCAGATTGCCAACAAAATTCAGAACGGGACGCTCAGCTGCGAGGAGAAGCTCACCTTGGCAAGGAACACGTTGCAGGCGGTGAGTCTTTTCCTCCTCCTTCGGGTCTTCCAAACCTCTCCAAGGTTGGCCTTTGGGTCTCAGCATCAGGCCGGCGGCCAGTCAAGGCAGCTTGGCTTGTGAAGAGCGTGAAAAGCATTTGGAAAAGACCTGTGGCCGGTTTGGCTGGATGGTTCAGTGGCTAGGTACTGAGTAGGGCTAGCTTAATAAAACAATGCAACAAATTAATGACGTAATCCAGAGTCCCCATGCCCACTCACAGTTCTTTCTTTCTTGCAATCCAACATCTCACCCTTTTAGCATCACTGCTTCTACTACACCAGCTCCTTCTTGACTCCTATCCTCTGCTCCAGAGGCACAACCTGCCCCATTGCCAGTTCCATGTCTGGTGTGGCCAAATGGGATTTCCGTGTTCCTCACACGAGCAATCATGTCAGATCGTGTGCTGTTGGCTGACATTATCCCCAGGATTGACTGGAATGTTGATGAACGTTCCATGACACCACGAAAGTTTAGGCAACGGCGGAATGGGGCTTATGAGTGATAGCCTTCTATACAGTGTGTATAGGTTGTACTATATACATAATCATGAACCATCGAGTCAGTGTTTATGGTAATGCTCTCCAGGGTTTTCCAGGTAGAGAATATGCAGAAGGGGCTTTCCATTTCCTTCTTTCCAGGAGTGCGTCCTGGGGGTGACACCACGACAGTTTAGGCAACGGCGGAATGGGGCTTAGGAGTGATAGTCTTCTATACAGTGTGTATAGGTTGTACTGTATACAATCATGAACCATCAAGTCAATGTTTATGGTAATGCTCTCCAGGGTTTTCCAGGTAGAGAATATGCAGAAGGGGTTTTCCCTTCCCTTCTTTCCAGGGGTGCGTCCTGGGGCTTCTGTGCAGCCTGCCCAAGGCCACCCAGGGTGGTTCTTCTCCCAGGAGATGCACAGTGGGGGAATCGAACTCCCAACCGCCAGATGTGCATCCAGATGCCTAAACCACTGAGCTATCCAGCCAGCTGTGTATTGGTTAGCCAGTTAGTAATAAGACATGGTGGACGCTAATTCATAGCATTGCTTTTTGTAAGTCAGAAGTGACATGATGACGTGTCAGGAATAAAAATAAGTAGACGAGTCAGATTTCTTTTCTGTGGGCCCCCTCCGCCCCTCGAGAGCGTGCATTTCCTTCACGAGTTCCAATCCCCTCCTACCAGGATGAAGCCCACCTGGGGTCAGGTCAGCCGGTGCAGTACGAGTCGGACGTTGTCATGTACCTCCAGGAGTGCGAAGGGCTTCTCCGCCAATTGCAGGTGGATGTTCAGATCCTACGGGACGAGAATTACTACCAGCTGGAAGAGTTGGTCTTCAAGTGAGTGGAGCGCGCGAGGGCGGGGCTGAGCTCATAATTCGCAGGTGGGCAACTGGAGCAGTCGAGGGGAAGGATGCTTTGTGCTCATGAAGAGGAGAAGGAGGCGAGGCTCAGCCTTCTAAGCCTTGGGGGGGTTCTTAGAAGGGAGGCTTCCTGAGCAGGGTCAGCCCAAGACCCCTCGTGGATCGAGGCAGGGAGTCGGTGGCCAAACTGATATTGCCAGCCGAACTTTCTTTTTTCTTTTCTTTTTTTTGACTCCCCGTGAAATCGAAGGAGATGTGGATCAAACCCCTCTTCTGAAATCTAAAGCAGAAGGAGAATTTCAGTGAAATTCTTGCTGTGTGAGGCTAATTAATCCAGTTAAATGACTGACTGGGTTGATTCCAATTAGATCCTCACTTTTCCTGAAGACCCATGAATGAAACGAGGAAGACTATAAGTTACGATCTTAAAACGCAATGTGTCTTATTAAAGCAACAGGCTTTGGACATTTAAAAGCATAATAAAAAAGGTGGTGGGAATTGGCACCATTTCCCATGAGAGAGGAGACGGCTAAGGGCCCAAGGTCTGTCTTGGGCAGCTGGTGGAAATATAACAGGCTGGGGGATGGGGGATGGCAGCCTAACCTCTGTGGAAGGGGTGGGGGGTCCATATTTGGGGAGCTGGCATCCTGAGGGCCCTCTCTCATGCTCTGACCAGTTTGTCTGTGGGGATGGTAGGACTGGGGGGAAAGCATCCCCCAAAGATCTCCAGCCGTGGGCAGGCCCCTCTGGCGAGAGAATGCAGGACTTTGGACCGCCTGGCACCCGAGCTATGGAGGGCTTTATAGGTCATGAACAGCCCTTGGAAGTGTCCTCAGGAGCAGAGGGGCGGTTGGGCAGATGTACTGGGAGGGATTGGGGCGTTGGGTCCCTCCCAGAAGCTCTGAGAGGAATCCTGCAGAGCGTCAGGGTATGTTCCATGTGTTTGTGTGTGTGTTTGTGTCCGTGCGTGCAAGAGAGAGAGACAGGATATTGTGTGCGCCGGCCTGAGGACGTTCATTGCTTTCATGGACCACAGCTTTCTAATCTTGTCACTCCGTGGTGACCAGATTCCTCTCTCACCCCTCCCCTGGTCATGTGGCTCTTTCCCAGGATCGTCCGCCTTCAGGATGAGCTTGTGACCCTGAGGCTTGAGTGCACCAACCTTTACCGGAAGGGGCACTTTTCCTCTCCATCCTCGTTGGATTTGGTCCAGCCTTCCTCCCTCAGCACCCGGCACCTTAAGGCCGACCCCTTACTGAAGGGGATGCACACCACCGCTGCTGCCTCTACCTCCTGGTTCCGGAAGCCGATGACCCGCGCAGAACTGGTGGCCGTCTCGTCCTCAGAAGATGAAGGCAACCTCCGCTTCGTGTACGAGCTGCTCTCTTGGGTGGAGGAGATGCAGGTGTGTGAGGAGACAGGCGGAAGCCACACAGGTTTCCCTGTGTGGTTTGATTCCTTCCTTCCTTCCTTCCTTCAGAAGCCACGCAGGTTTCCCTGTGTGGTTCGATTCCTTCCTTCGTTTGTTCATTCATTTGTTCATTCATTTTACATATTTGGTGTCAAGTGCATTTAAAAAATATTCCTGATTAGTTTTGTAAACTTCTGTTTGTTTGTTTGTTTCTTTGTTTAACTTTGATGTTGCCCATCTCACCTGAGGTTATCCTGGGTGGTGTACAGTAGGTAACAATATTTATTAAGGTTGTACTGTTCAAATCATGCAGGCATAAGGAAAGTAGATTTGTTCCCATTTAACTTCAGAAGAAGCTTTGACTACACTTTAGTACATTTCTTGATGGCAAAGATGGACAAAGAGAGGGCACTGAAGCACTTGCTCACTTGTTATTAGACTGACAAGTCATGAAGCCGTATAATTTTTGTGCTGGAAGGGGTCCTGAGGGTCATCTAGTCCAACCCAAGCTGATGCAGGAAATCCACAGCAAATGGATCCTTGACAGGTGGTTGCCCAGCCTCTGTGTACAAACCTCTAGTGAAGGAGCATCAAACATCTTCTGAGGCAGGCTATTCGACTGTTGAACTCCTTTTCCTTCCGGGAAGTTCTTCTGAATGTTTAGTCACATCTGCTTCCTTGCCATTTGAATCTTCTACTTTGAGTCCCGCCTTCTAAATCTACAGAGGACAACTCTCCTCCTCCTTTTGTACGACAGCCCTTCAAGTGGTTGAACTCAGCAGTCGTTCTCACCTCTCTGTCTTCAAACGCTGATGGCTGCCATTTCCCCGTTTGTTTCAGATGAAGCTGGAGCGAGCCGAGTGGGGGAGTGACTTGCCAAGTGTCGAATCTCAGCTGGAGGTCCAGCGTCACATCCAGAGTGGCGTAGAAGACATTGGGTCCAGTGTGAAGGAGGCCCGAATGTATGAGGTAAGCGGGATCCTGCTCAGGAAAGGTCTCCAGAACTAACTTGACCAAATTTGAGGCTGATGATGCGGAGATGTTGGGAAGTCTCCCAAGGGATGACAGGAAATCAGTCCGTCCGTCCGTCCATACATCCGTCCATTGACAAACCATCCATCCATCCATCCATCCATCCATCCATCCACCCACCCATCCATCCATCCATCCATCCATCCATCCAAATGCGGAGATGTTGGGAAGTCTCCCAGGGGATGACAGAAAATCAGTCAATCCATCTGTCCGTCCGTCCATCCATCCATACATCCGTCCATTGACAAACCCATCCATCCATCCATCCATCCATCCATCCATCCATCCATCCATCCATCCATCCATCCATCCATCCATCCATCCATCCATCCATCCATCGCTTTCTTAATTTGTCCTGCAAACCCCAACTTCATGTTATGGGGAGGAACAGGATGTAGCCGCTATTGGTTGCTTTATGGATAAAATACTGGCAGGACAATCAGTGTCAGGATTTTGAGCTTTGATCGTGCAGAGGGACAAGTGGGATTTTGAGCTTTTGAGCTTTGATCGTGCAGAGGGACAAGTGAATCGCATCCCCATTGACGGGGCAACTCCTTCTCTATGCCTGCTTTTGGAAGGACAGGGGAGAAGGAGGCGGAGAGGGCGGGGGACCCCTGTTCCTACCTGTCTGCCTTGTGAATGACACTTTGTCTTCTCTTTCCTTTCCATTTTAGAATAAAATGTCTCAGAATTTCCGCACAAGTTACATTGAGACGCTGGGTAAGCTGGAAGTCCAGTATGGCAAGCTGATGGTGAGTGTGATTTGTGGGCTTATTTCTGGGTCAGAGGATCTTGGGGGATCTGATAACAGGTTCCAAGATCACAAGAAGGGCTCATTGCACCTTCTTTCCTTATCATTCCCCCTTTTCCCTTTCGAGGCTCTTTCTATGCGGTGCTTTCATTTTGCAATAAATACCCCCACGCTCCTCGTTCCCCATTTATTACCGCATCCTCCCTGTGAGCCTAAAAATACTCCTCTCCTGCAGAGATGCATTTAAGGTGGAAGAGAGGATGTGGGGTGTGGAAGGGTCCATAACTGGGCATCAGAGCAGTCATGGAAATTTATATTCCCTGGGACAGGTTGAATAGAGGCATTATAATAGATAAAACACTTCCTGATCAGGTGAACAGCCAGAAAAGCTGTCGAGTAGAGTAGAGTAGTTGCTTTTATTTGTGCATCCTTGCACATACTCTGTGGTTACTTTGGAACTTTCCACTTGGAGCTATAAAAGAGCAACTGTTTTATTACTCAGTGAGACTCACTTTACTCTTATACTGTGCATATGATAGTGGTTCTCTGCTTTCGAAAGCAATAATGTTTTATTGTTCACTCTATTCACTCTGTGTTCTGTTTTGCGACCCCCAGCCAGTGCACATAAGCTGAATGGCTATCCTGTCACAACACATTTCTTTGCGACCCCCAGCCAGTGCACATAAAGCTGGGCTGAATGGCTATCCTGTCACAACACATTTATAGTGCACTCATTATGTTCTTGTTGAAGGACATCACACACACACACACCCCGGTGCAGTAGCACCAGGCACGAGGGATCACTTTGCATAGGATAGCAGCTGCATCACTGTCATGAAGGAGCCTTTCGGACAGAGTTTTGATGTAACTACTGCCAGATGTTCTAAATCTTTCCCCATCTGTGCCCATACTGTGTTTTGATCTTTTTAGTTTGCATCTTATTTCTCTGTGGAGAAGTAGTTCCCCACCTAGTTTTCTGAGCTCCAGCCACCTCCTGCCTGTGGCCCAACTGGGTCAATGCTGTTGAGAAGAAGGGTGTGGTGGATGTTTTTTCTCCATCATTGTAAAACACTGTTTTGGAGTGTGTGGAAAAGGCCCTGTGGAACAGTGTGACACTCTCTGGAAGCAGAGCCTGCTAAGAAGGGTGTCTGGGAAGGAGGCCTCGGGCGGCCGAGGGCTGACAATGTCCCCTCTCTGCAGGAAACCTCCAGTTTCCGACTGCGTCACCTCCAAAGCTTGTACGAGTTTGTCTCCCGAGCAACAGCAGAGTTAATTTGGTTAAATGAGAAAGAAGAGGAGGAATTGGCGTACGACTGGAGCGACAACAACCCCAACATGGCTGCCAAGAGGAATTATTTTTTGGTGAGTGGCAGGGGGTTGAAGAGGGCAAGACGATGGGAGGCGTTTCCTCACGGAGTACCAGATTTCCCACTGGGTTCTGGCCTCCTTAGAAAAGGTTTCAGTGCAGTTTATGTAGACCTTCAGTGGTGTGTGTTGCCTTCCGATCCTTTGGTAGAATGTGGATTGTTTTTATTTTTAAGCCTCTCTTCCCCACCCTGCAGTGGAAGCTTAAAAACGGAAGCCAGGAAAGGTGTTTTCAGCCCCAGGGATGAACCCCAGGTTACAACCACAGTGGGTGGGGCTAAGGGCACAGGGGTGGAGCCAAAGCAAAGTGGGTGGAGCCAGCGGTAATTCTTACCAACAGGGACATTTCTTGCACGAAGCCTGGGAAGCTCCACTTGGCGCTCGGCAGTCTAATCCCAGGCTGTTAGCTTCTCATGTTCAAAGCACCCTGAGTTCCAGGCGAACACTTTAAGTCTCCTCTCCCCTTTTATCTCTTGAGTCCGGCCCTACTCTCAAGGCGAGAGTGTTCAAGGGTGTGTCAGGCACCTGGAATTGAGCCTCTCCTCAGATGGAGCAGGGGCAAGGAAGCCGGGGTTTCATAGGTCCGGATTTCAGTGCTCTGGCTGCTTCACCTGTTTGTTTGCTTGCTGTTGCAGAGCCGGTAGAGGGAGGGAGGAGACTCTTAAGGGGGAGGCTCCAGAGATCTTAAGCAGGAAACGAAAGTGACAAAGGGCCGTGGCATCAGTGCGTGGTGCCAGTCCCGCTGTACCTGGCAGAGGGTGCTGGGTCCTCTGTGGGAAACAGGACTCACTCTTCTCTGTCTCTGGAGCACAGGAGCTGACGGCTGAACTGGAAGAGAAACAGGACGTGTTCCATTCCTTACAAGACACGGCCGAGATGCTGTCGTTGGAGAACCACCCAGCCAAGCAAACAGTGGAGGTAAAGGAGGATTTGGTGTGCATGCGTTGGGGCCCCCGTGCCTTTTAGGCGAAATGCCCCTTTGTGGCTTTATGATGTGCTGGCATGTGCCATGTAGAGCTCTAACCCCTTCTGTCTCCTCTTCAGGTGTGTCTGGTTAGGCTATGAGTTTGCTCTTAATGTGTCCGACTCTTTTTGGGGGTGCTCTGTGTACATCTGTGGGGGGGAAAAATGCTCCTTTGTGGCTTTACGATGTGCAGGCATGTGCCGTTTAGAGCTCTAACCTCTTCTGTCTCCTCTTCAGGTGTGTCTGCTGAGGCTATGAGTTTGCTCTTGGAGTGTCTTACTCTTTTTGGGGTGCTCTGTGTACATCTGTGGGGGGGAAAGGGGGGACCCCTTTTTGCATCAAATTCTGGAGGAGGGAATATGCCTTATGGAACACTAGAGAGTTCCAGGTGGGCTAGGAAGGGTGGGCGGTGGGGAGCCACACATTCTCTTCGGGTTCCTCCCGATTTCTCCCAGGGGATTGTGACCCTTGGATTTGAAACGGTCCAGAGACTTGCTTAGCAACAGGATGTGGCGGGTGCAGGAGGTGGTACTTACAAGACAGGGCAGGCCTTCCTTTCTTTCACAAGTCACTGACTGTGAGCTTTTGACCTTCCCTGTCCTTTTTTTGGCCAGAAGTCTGGGCGGGTGGCTACCAGCAGGTTGGGCAGAATCCAGCCGCTGCCTGCAGTGAGATTTTTGCTGTCTTTCTCCCAGGCGTACAGCGCAGCCGTGCAAACCCAGTGGCAGTGGATCAAGCAGCTGTGCCTTTGTGTGGATCAGCACGTGGAGGAGAACACGGCTTACTTCCAGGTACGATGGGGAGGGGTCCCGGGTCACCTGAGGGCTGCTGGGGGCCCCTGAGCTTGGGAATGCAGGTCTTAATGCAACGCTAGGGCCAAACTGCACATGTGCGCATACATGCATGCACATGCGTTCTCTGCTCCTGCTTGAAGGGAGAGCATGTGCTGGCACTTCCTTCCCTAGCACACCCTGATCCCATCTTCCCTGTTCCTCTTGCTTTACAAGTATGAAAACAAGTTAAGTTCTTAGCCTCTCCTTGTGGCCAGAGAGAGACCCCCCCAACAGGCGCCATGTGCAAACTTCCACCCTTGCCTGCTGTGGTTCTTCTAACAAACCAGAATCTCAACAGGCCGAGCCGTGTTAAGGTCTTACGAATAAAGCAGCTCGGTGGAGAATGTTTTCCCTGTTGCTGCTTTTCTTCTTGAGCGGGTCTCAGCTGTCTTCTTAGAATCTCCAGCTTGAATTATTATTTTTTTAAAAGTAACTTAAAATGTCTTAGGGGGAACTTATGGGCTGACCGCTTTTTCCGTGAAGGCTAAAAAAATGATGTATTTGCAGTTCTTCAGTGACGCTCGAGAGTCGGAGACCTACCTGAAGAACCTCCAAGACACCATCAGGAGGAAGTATTCGTGTGACCGCAACACCAGCCTGACCCGTCTGGAGGACCTGCTCCAGGATTCCATGGTGGGTAATGGTTGGGTGCCGCTCAGGGTCACGCTGGCATGACGGGGTCAAGGAGGAAGGCTCTCAAGCGGTCAGAGGGTCCTGTGTCGGCCGTACGGTTGCTCACGGCTCTGGGCTGTAAAGAAAAATAAGGCATGTGCCCCCCCCACTCAGAACTTCCTTGTTTCGCCATCTCGTTCCTCCTGGATCTGCGCTGTTGAGCTATCCTTGTGTATGAGTTCCACCCCATAGCCAAACCTACACCCACACCTCCCTGTGTGTGACCCTGGCATGCCTTTTCCTCTCCCTCTGCTGACCTGGTTCCTCCGGCCACTTCCTCTGTCAGCTTGGTGGCAATGTCCCATGCCAACCCAACACCATCACCACTGCCTCTTCCCTCCCCCATTTTGGGGGTCCATCGCAACAGCTGAGAGCTCTTCTGGATCCCTGGCAAGGAAGACCTCTTGGCTGGCTCTTCTGCCCGTGGTTTTGGAACATAGGGTTTCACCTAGGAAGCATGTGCCCTTCTTGTCACTGGGCTCCTGTTTGACCGCGGTCCAGCCTGTCGATCCGCCTCGCCCTGTGTTGTCTGCTAGCTGGCAGCTGCGGTGCTCAGCCTGCATGCGCTTTGCCACTGAGTAGTGCTGTTGTGGAACATATACTAACCCTAAGCAAGACGTTGTGTGGGGAATGGAAGTATTTCAGGGCCCAGGACTTTGCCATGCTTGCATTTCATGCCCAGTGGGGTAGGAGGCAGAAGAGTTGCTGGCGCTGGCTTTGAAGAAGAGGAACGGGGTCACCTCAAGAGCGAGGATGGCCGCGTGAAAGGTTTCCTGCCCTAGTAGGTCTTCACAGAAGGTCCTGGGAGAGAGAGGGATGTTTGAGAAATGGCTGAGTGGATGGAAGAACAGCTAGAAACAGCCAGGTTTCCATTGCTTAGAAAGCATGCTGACTGGAGGGTCTGAGGTCAGCCCGAAGGAAGAGGCTCCAAGGTGGATGAGGGAGGTAAAGCCCTCAGGAGAGATAATGCAGTGGAGGCCCTAAAGGGTGATGAGGGGGAAACACAGGGGGAAATGAGGCACGCCCCAAGCTCCCTCCAGGGACCTGGCTGAAAATGTTGCCCCTGAGCTGAGTGGACCCTGCTTTGGGTCAACACGGGGGTCTGTCTGGCCTTTTGCCATTGCTCACAGCATCGCAGGGCCTTGCCCAAATGCCAGGGAAACACCAGGACTCTCAACCCCATCGTGTTGATCGACCTCAGTTGGCGACGCTGGAGATGAGGCGGTGGGGCGGAGAGCACCCTCCACAGGCAGGACCTTCGCAAGTCCCCTCACTGTTGGGTGACTTGTCGGTTTCCTGAGAGGAGCGGGTGGATGGAGAGGTTTAAAAGGGAGTGCCAGGAAAAAGAGATTGCCCTGGACTGTGATGATGGTTCTGGCGGGACGGCGGAATCTTCAGAGTATCCGAGAGGGCACGAGAAGAGGTTCGGGAAGGAGAAGATCTTTGTGGCTCGACAGCCGGGCGGGGGGGGGGACGACAACGTGTGTGGAGGATGCTCAGGGTCCTTGTTAGCACTGCTGCGTGCGAGGTTAGGGTAGCCTTACCTGATGCTTCAGGAGGAGGAGGAGGAGAAAGGAGATGCAGGTGGCGCATCTGGGCGCAGGCTGGTGGGGGCAGCGCTGATGTCATGGGGAGAGGCCGATGCAAAGTAGCCCTGCTGCTCATCTTGTCGTAAGTTGGCAGCCGCAAAGGAAGGTTTATGGCTGGAACGAAAGGGGACGGATGCTGAGCTGAGCCCTCCCTTGGCTCCATTTCAAGGGCTCTGGAACTGGGGTCCTTGTAACCTTGCTCTCCTGTGTGAGACAGCTTCTGCTGCAGGGCTTTTGCAGAGAGAGAGAGAGAGAGTCAAAGATGAAAGCTTAGACCCCTGTGTGTGAAAGAGACATTTCCTTGATCATAATGAGTGAGTTAAAGTTGTATTTCTTCCAATCATGCTCCCCTGGGACAGGCACAGGTAGCTTGATTTTAAGCTTTCTTCCTTCCTTTCTTCCTTTTTTTCTTTCTTCTTTCCTTCCTTCCTTCTTTCTTTCTTTCTTTCTTTCTTTCTTTATTTCTTTCTTTCCTTCCTCTTTCTTTCTTTCTTTCTTGTTCAATTTGAAAATTGCAGCACTGTTTTTCCTTGCAGTTTTTAAAGTGCTTATGTACATTGGTTAACTTCCTTAATTTTTTCCCCCCACCCAGTTGTGATGTTGCTTTTACTCCCTCATTTTGCAAAACCCAGCCATTTTCCTTTCTAGTGAAACGGAGTTAGGGTTGAGTCTTGTTGCACTCTGGATCGCTGTTGCCCAGATAATTCTGAAATTTTGGGTGTGGGGGGAGTAACATCTGAATTGTGCATGCTGTTTCTGGGGTGGGTCTGGGAACAGAGAAGATGATGAAATGACAAATCCTTTGGGGTGGACTCAGATTGACTCTGTGCTCCTTCCCTCTGGCCCATATTTGGAAAAGTTGCACGCAAGCGTGCTGATGCACGCATGCCCAGGCTGATACACATCCACACAGAGCCCCTCCCAAAATACACCTGCCAGAGTGGAAAGTGTGGTGGGTGTAGATTTACACCCGTTTTGGGGGTCCCCTTCTCTGTCTCCCTCCTCTTCCAACCGTCCTTTTGACTTTTTCATTTTGGACAGGATGAAAAGGAGCAGTTGATCCGGTCCAAGAGTTCGGTGGCCAGCTTAGTGGGTAGGTCCAAAAGCATCATCCAGCTGAAGCCACGAAACCCTGACCACGCTTTGAAGAACTCCATCTCCGTGCGGGCCATCTGTGACTATCGCCAAATTGAGGTGAGGTGCCATTAAGCCTTGCCCAGACTTTGACTCTTGCGCAGATCTGCCGAGGGAAGAATGGAGGTCGACCGGGCCTCTGGGTGACCAAGGGCGTGGGTGGTGGTGGGCTCCATACAGAAGGTAGACCAGTTCTCCAGGGGCCAAGGATCTGGAAGGGAGCCGTTGGGCACGGGCTCTGCATGGAGGGAAGGATGGTCGGCAAGGTGTCGTTGGGTCCCCTGCCGGGACAACAATGTCCCTTTGATGGCCTGCTGCACAGATCACCATCTGCCGGAACGATGAATGTGTGTTGGAAGACAACTCTCAGAGGACCAAGTGGAAGGTGATCAGCCCCACTGGGAACGAGGCCATGGTTCCCTCTGTTTGCTTCTTGGTGCCCCCTCCCAACAAAGAAGCCATGGATGTGGCCAGCAGGTCGGTAATCTTTAGCAACATTACGCTCTCTCTCTTTTTTTGGGAAGGGTGGGGGCAACGTCTGGGTGGTCTCTGCTGGCAGGCTTTCTCTAAACACATTTGGGCTATGAAAAGTTGGAACTGGGCTTCGTAGGTGCTGCTCCCCGTGCATGGGGAAGACACGGGGCTAAATCTGTGGGATCCCCAAGATCAGGCAATTTTCCCCCTTCTTAAAGATCATTGGTGGCAGGGCTGGTTCGAGCCCTCTGGCCCTTTGCCACAAATTCTCAAGAAGTCCTCAACCTCCCCCCATCCAGAAACCTGCCCATGTTGTACCTGGGGCTGAAGAATTTGCAATGAGTTCTAGTTCAGTCCCATTTAACTTTTAAATGTTACGATGATGATGCTTTCAGGCTATTTGCCTTTGCTTTCCTTTGGGCAATGGTGTGCACAATTTTTATCTTCTGTAGGGTTTTTTTCCTTACCACTTTGAAGATGTTGTGTGTGTGTGTGTAAGGAGCTGCCAAAAACCCTGTCAAAATAATATAATGCAGTTCCCCTTTCTCGTCATGACTGGAACTCAATCTCAGCTTGGCGATGAATAAATCTGTGTTTCCTTACCAATTTGAAGATGGTGTGTGTGTAAGGAGCTGCCATAAACCATGTCAAAATAATATAATGCAGTTCCCCTCTCTCGTCATGACTGGAACTCAGTCTCAGCTTGGCGATGAATAAATCTGTGTTGTTCTAGTTTGGTGTCAGTTTTGTTTGTGTAGGTCTCATTTTCATTACCATCTGCAAATTAAAACAAATGAAGGGGGAAAAAGCACTCCCTCGAAATTTCACTTCGTTTTAAATATCTTCTCCCTCAAAAAAAAAGTGCTAAGTTTTTTTTATACCTTGAAAACTAAAGTATGGTTATTTGTTTGCACTTTATTTTATTTTACTTTATTTTAGCTCGGTTTGGCACATATTTTTTTTTAAGACAGGGAAAAAACTGTGAAATTCAGAGAATTCCAGCACTCGAAAGAGAACTGTATGTTGATCTGTATCTCTGTCTGGGCAGCGCCAATGAATCGGGCTCCCTGACAAGTGAGATCTGAACAAAATCTTTCCGCACCCCTCCTTCAACTCATGCATCTTCCCAGCACAAGGTGTCCCAATTAGAAGATCAGATCTTACAGTATCACAGCACACAGTGTTGAGGCTTTGTCTGTGGGCTCCATACAGAAGGGGGTCAAAGACCTTTTTTGCTCTCTGTTTTTGGCTGCAGGGTGGAGCAGCTGTACCAGAAGGTCATGGCGCTGTGGCATCAGCTCCACGTAAACATGAAGAGTCTGGTCTCCTGGAACTACTTGAGGAAGGACATCTCTCTGGTGCAAAGCTGGACTATAGAGAAGGTAATTTTCCAACCCCTCCAGAGAGGGACAGTATTTGGTTGACACTTCTGTGAACATGAAAAGCGCACGCAACCAACCCGTGTTGGTTAGACGGGACCTCTTGGTCGGACAGGAAAGCCAGATTGGAAATTAGAACCAGGTGGGCAGGGAGTGAGAAGGAAAGGGCAGACGGGAGCTCAAGGTGGATGAAGTTCTTGGTACCCTGTAAGGAAATGGTGAAATGGGTGCCCAGAAGCACAACGCGCGGGCTGGTTCCTTGGGAGGAGAGGCTTCTAGGTGTACAGTGCAGCAGGCACCTGCAAAATTAGTTTAATTAGAAGTTGCACCGAGAAAGGAGAGAAGGTCTGCCATTCCCATCCTTGGTTGTCCATGCTGTGGTGGTGCCAGCCTGTAACTCTGCAAGCCTTCCCTTTGCACGGAGCTTTCCTGGTCTGAGTAGGTCTCTCTCTCTCTCTCTCTTCCCCCCCCCCCACAGCTGAGGGCCTTGCCCCCGGGGGAGTGCCACCAATCCATGAGGAACCTGGAGGTGCATCATCAGGACTTCTTGGAGGACAGCCAGGATTCGGAGGTCTTCTCCGTTGCCGACCGGCTGCGCCTGGAGGAGGAAGTCGACTCCTGCAAGGAGCATTTCCAGCAGCTTATGCAGTCAGTGGAAAATGGTGAGCTCGGGGAAAGCTGGAAAAACCAGTATTTGAGGCAGCCTCAAGAGAAACTGAATAGATGGTAAGAGAAAGATTACAAAAAGCCTGTGACGGCGTGCTTCAAGGATGGCCCACCGGTCTGGAGCTGATCCCCAAACTAGTTTTATCTGCTGCTTGTTGGCTGTGTCACACGTAGATCAAAACTGGGGGGGAGGATTTGATTTTTCTGGTTTTTCATGTGGCCTCTTCTAACTAAAGTAACCACAGAAGTAACTCGCTTCTTCCTAAAGATAACTCCCAAGATATCCTGCCTGAGGTGGCTGCCCCAGTTTTCCCTAGGGCAGTACTGGTCTTCCGGAGCTGTTCTAAGTCTGCAGGCCATGCACGATGGTCACACCTGTAGCACGGGGTTCTGCAGTGCAAACAGTTGGAGAGGGACTCCTTGTACGGAGCAGTGGCAATAAATGGGCTACGGTGCTTTTCTTTCAAATGATGCTGATCTGCCTTACAGTTTCTTGTGCAACCTTTTAAGGAACTCCTAGAAAAGAGACCATGTCTGTCCTTAGCTGCATCAGCCGTCTAAAACTGCCTTGCATGGGGATGAGCTGTAGGTCTGTGGCCATGCACCTTCAGTGGAGACTTGTGATAATTCTCCAGGGTTTGAGGGCTGTTTTGGACTACAACTCCCAGAATCCCCCAGCCAGCATGGTCAGCACGACTTGGGGGGATTTTGCAGGTCCTATTCCTTGTCGTCTACGCTCTAGGCCCAGGGAGAGCTTCCTTTTCTCAGCCTGCGAATCGGACATCCTTGGGCCGAGCCTGAGATCTGAAGCTCAAAAGCTCTGCCCAAGAGGCGAACAAACCAGCTGCTGCCTTTGGTCTGGCCGGTCGATTTCAGTGTTTTTGCTTGTTTTGTGCCTGCGCGTGACCAGAGGACAAAGATGAGACCGCTTCCCGCACTTACCTGTCCGAGCTGAAGAACATCCGCCTTCACCTGGAGGAGTGCGAGCAGCGTTTGGTGGGCACCATCCGGACACCGAGCAGCACGAGGACCGACGGGGACGCCTTGCAGGAGAACACTTTCCGGATTGCTGAGCAGGAGGTTGGTTTTGCTCGCTGGGCTGCCGGCGGAGGTGATGATGGCGCTACGGGATTATTTTGCACGTAGGAAGAAAGCCCGAGAGCCTGTTTTTGGTGCTGAGCCTACTTGCTCTGTGGTTAGGAAAGAAAACAGCACGGGAAAAAGTGTGAGCATTGGGAGGCCTGCCATTTATTTATTTACATTTATTTACTTGAAATATATTTACCCTGGCTTTCTCCTCAAAAAGACCCAAGGCGGTGGCTGGCATTGTGGTGCCACACCAGGGGAGAATTTGCCAGTGCCGGGCGACTCCGTCAGAGAATTTCAGGGGTGTGTCCTGGAGAAAGTTTCTAGCCCTAAGAAGTTACAAAAACACTTGGCAGGCCATCAGAAAGGATCGGTCCCCTCACCTATTTGCACTGGTGGAGCTGGCCTCTGATTTGAAGACTCAGAATCATTTCCAGTCACTCAAAGTTTTATTTTTATTTCTTGATGAAAGGTTTTGAGTTCCTGCAGTGTCCCAAAACAACAAAACTCCCCCTGCCTGCCTCACCCTTCTTGCTTCTGGTTTGCTTAAAATTCAGCAAATGTTAATAGTCAGGCTGTTACATTTTATCTCTGCTTTTTTTTCTTTCTACATAACGTTTGTGGTTACTTACAACAATCTAAATTAAGCAAAAGATATTTCTGTAGCAAATAGCAAGGGTTTCGAATACTTTCTCACCCTACGTGATAGCTCACCCTATCAAGCTGCACATAAACCAATCCATCGGTAAATCCATTTGGTCTGTCTGTGCGAAAATCTGACCCAGATGGTCTAAATCCAACTTTTGGGGACTAACGAGTCTCGTTTGGTTCAAGGGTCTGTTCTCGAGGGTCCCCCTGCTGGCTTTTGACCCGGCGGTCCCAGGCCGGATTCATTCCCTCCCGATCCTTTTTCTTAAGAGCGGCTCCGTCAAAGTAGGTCTCGGCCTCTTTGCTCTTTGCCGCCTAACGTCCGTTGTCTCTCCAGCGGCTGAAGGAGGATTTGCATCGCCTGAAGGCTGACATGGAACAACTTTCGGAGAGATGCAATATTTTCCTGCACAAGTCCCCGACAGGCTCCAGCACCCCACACCTTCGTTCTGAGCTCAACCTGCTGGTGGAAAAGATGGACCACGTCTACGGGCTGTCCTCCGTCTACTTGGACAAGTGAGTCTGTCTGGTTCCCAAGCCCAGGGAGTCAGAAACACAGATGGGTAAATTGACTGTTGTTTAATGCCTTAATCGGCCTCATAAACAGCAAATGCTGTTCTCTGGACACAGCAAGAAAGAACAGCGGTCACTGAGGTTTCTCCCTTTTCCCCCCCATTCACTAGGCTGAAGACGGTGGATGTAATTATTCGGAATACTCAAGGGGCCGAGTCTTTGGTCAAGGGATATGAGGTGAAACTGAGCCAGGAGGAGGCTGTGCCGGCTGACCTCGCCGCCATTCGGTCTCACCGGGCCACGTTGCAGGTCGGTAGCTCTCAACGGAGTCTCTGTTGATTCCTCAGCAACATCTACATAGGTAGGAGACGTAGTATTTAAGGGTCCTTCAGGGCTCACAAAGTTCATCTTGACAAACTCTGAAGGTGCTGGCCACAGGGACTGGCGAAACATTAGGAAGAAAAATCTCCAGAAGAGGGCCAAACAGCCCAAAAAACCTACAACAATCAATTGAAATGCTCTTTTGTTCCTCTTTGGTAACGAGTTATGTTTAGAATTGGCAGGAAAGATTAGGTTGGATAGTTAGGTGACGTTAATGCTCAGTTTCTCTGAGATGCCTTTTTTGGGTTTCCTGGTCTTGTAGCTCTCCAGCTTCCTTTCCGGGTGCGCAGGCACCCTTTCCACGCACAGGAGGCCACCTCGCCTCCAAAGCAGCCTCCATCTTTCCCCATGACACCTGCGTTGCATCCTCTTTCCTTCGTGGGAGCTTCCTACATTTTGGCAAGAACGTAGTGCTTCTGTGCATTTTATAAACTCGCCGTTGTGTGGATTGCAATGATGATTCACACATTTTAATCCTTGCCATCTGCCCCGTGATGAGGAGTGGTCCAAACTGTTAGTGCAAGTAATTTTTTTTAAAAAAAACAACCACCCATAGTCCAAGCAACAGCTGGCAGCTGGGTTTGCAGGTGGCTGACCTTCAATTGCTAGCTGGCTTGTGGGTCCAGCCAGTTCTAACGTACGCCTCTCTTTCCTTCTGTCTCTGCCTGTCCGTGTTAAACGATGCAGCAATGGGTCAGTGAAGTGAGTGAGAAGAAGACGGTCTTTTCCACGTTGGAAGAGGATTTGGCAAAGGCCAAGGTGGTGGCCGACCAGCTGTACCATCTGAAGCAGGAGCACAGTCCGGACCTGGAGCGCTACCAGGAGAAAGGCACGCAGCTCTGGGACCGCTGGCAGCGGGTCAGCCTGCAGATGGAGACTCGGTGTGTGTGCGTGCTAGCCCTCTGCCTGGTTGCTGCTTTGCCTTTTGGGGTCCTCTGAATGCTGGGGAGGGTCCCTCGGCACCTGGCTCTCCAGGCCGCCCCTTCCCCACACCCTCTCACTGTCACCCCTGTGTCCATCTCCAGAATAACCCCAGAGGACAAGGGTCTCGAGTGAATTCTGGTGGACTCAGGCAGAGGGAGGTCTGGCAGGATTTGGGCCATGTCTCCTGTCGGTCAGTTATGTCCTTTGAGGGTGGTGTGCAATCAGAAGAGGGAGCCGCTCCCGCTCTTGCCCTGAGGAAAGAGACTGTTCACAAGCACCAAGGAGGGGCTGCAGTAGCCCTGGACCCTTCAGATAGGACTCTCCTTCCTTGAAGACTGGCCCTTGGCTTAGACGTCTGTTCACTGGCCTTGTAGACGTTCTCAGGGCCTGGCTCAGGACTGCGGCCTGGCACTCTCTAGTCGATTCCCAACGGACAACCCCGTTAGAGTTTTGGAGGGATGCCTGGTGTTAAAGCCCCCTTCCTCCCCAATCCATGTCTATGGCCAAGCAGAGACCTCAATCCAGGTCTCCTAGCCCAAATCTCTGTCCACTGGGCCAGATATAATTCCAGGTCTGTATGAAACCATCCCAGCCTGTAAACCGCCTCAAGCTAGGGACCTGCCATCGTTTAACTTTCCTAAGGCCCCGTGCATGCCCACGGTGAGAGTTTCTTTTAATACAAATGATTTTGCTTGGTATTCATCATTTCTCTGCTGCTCTCTTCCCCCTTCTCCTGTTTTCTGTTGTCGTTGCTTTTAATCTCTCGGCAGCCAATCGGAGCTGGAGAGCATCGAGCAGGTCCTGAGCGATTACCGGAACTGTCATGGGGCACTAATCCAGTGGATTGAGGAGGCTATGGCCCAGCAGGAGCTGATGAAACCTGGACAAGCCGAGGAGAGCAAAGTTCTCTCGGAGCAGCTCAGCCAGCAGATGGTGAGCCTGGCGGGGCCAGGAAGGAATCTGAGGGCTTAAGGGGGCATGTCGTCACATTGGGCTTCCCCCCCCCTCCTGCCGAGCCCTGAAAAGGGACTGCTGAACAGGATTTGTGCTGGGATTCCACATGCCCAGAGAGTCACATGGATGGCCGTTTTCGTTCTGTGCGCCACTCTCTGCTTTTTAAAATGATGGATAAAATAAGTCTCTATTTGACACTGTTTTGAAGACTTGGTTCTGAAATGGCTAAGCTTTAACCAAGAGGTTCATAACTAAGTGTTTGTGACCCTCTGTTGGGAGGGTTTCTCTGCTAGGCAGGTACCTAGCTTCTGAGAGAGATTCTACACAGATGCCTGTGTCGTCTGCTGCCAGTTTTAAATCATCCCTGTTTCTGAATATGCAGATGCAAGTCATGATTGCATCCTCGCTAAGAAACCTGCAGCGGGTTCTGGCTTCAACTGGAAAATTGGCAGAAAAGGACAGGCAATGTGATCAAGGCGCTCGGGAACTTCCTTATGGGGTGGTGCATTTTAATGTGGAAGCAAAAAGGCAAGGGGGAGGACATGGTAGGAGGGAACAAGCTATGCATGGTGCAGAGAAAGTGTTCCAGTCTCTGATCAGATTGTGGTTGAGTAGGATCATGAGTGAGGAGAGGTCCGAGAGAGAGCAAGGCATCCTTCTTTACAACGCTTAGAGTTAGTTGGCAAGATCTGGGGGATGGCCAGCTTGGAAATTTTAAAAAGGAATGTTCACAGATCTCAAGGGAGAGATCCAGCTCCGTCAGTGGCTGCCTGTCATGATGGCTATGTGCCATGTTCATCTGCAAGAGCAGCCTCTGCTCTCACATACACACACCCCACTGGCGAGGGAAGGACCAGAGGGGAGGACCGCGTGCCTTTGTGATCAGAGGGCGAGCTTCTCAAGGGCCTCTCTTTTTGAGCGTGGTAGGAAGTAGAATGATGGATGCGAGAAGCCTTGGGTCCAGCCTTGTTGGCTTGTTCATATAGCCTTAGAGGGGAAGAGGACTGTAAATCAGAAAGGAAGGGTCTGCGGTGGCCACAGTAAACTGAGAAACATTTAACTCGGGCCTTAATTGTGTGGGATTTATACACACACAAACAGAGAGAAAGAGAGAGAGGACTGAGAAACATTAACTCAGGCCTTAATTGTGTGGGATTTGTACACACATAAACACAGAGAGAGAGTTACAAAGATGGAGATGGGTTTATTTTATTTTATTTGCAGGCTGCCTTTCAGGGACTCAAAGTGGCATTTTGCAAGCCTGATTCTGACAATGCTTTTTCCTTTTCAACTGAAGGCGCTTTTTGCTGAAATAGAGGCCAATCAAGCGAAACTGGACCAGTGTCAGAAACTGTCCCAGCAGTATTCAGCTGCAGTCAAGGTAACAGGATGTTCCTGCTCCTCTGCTACACCACCAAGGCCAACACAACTGGGAATTTCAGTGAGGAAGATTAAATCTAGGTGGGACAGGATAAGGCGCCCCGGGGCCGATCCTGTTCTGATTTCCTGTCGGAATTGTGCGGCGAAGCTGCTTCAGACGTGTGGAGCTTTTCCAGAACGATGTGGGCTTTGGGTGGGTGGATCTGATCCCAGTATGGTTGAAACCCCCTGCTCTGAATTGACAGTAGAACTGAACACGATCATAAAATACACACACTGTTGCTCTGGAAGAGGATGCTAAGGATGACTTCCTTTGAGCATCGCTGCAAAGTGCAGAGTCTCAGCATGGATTCCCTTTTCTTGCCATCCTGGTGTGTTTTTAGGACTACGAGCTGCAGCTGATGACCTACCGTGCCTTTGTAGAATCTCAGCAGAAGTCTCCCGTGAAGCGACGCCGTGTGCTCTCCTCTTCCGACACTATCACTCAAGAGGTGAGGTCCTTTGCATTTTATTTTTTTTAGCCTAAGGCAGAAGCGGGGAAAGAGTCTCCCAGTTCCTGGTCAGACGTGCAAGGAGCGCCTTCCACAAAACCCAGCACTTTTGCCTCCTCTTGAACTTGTGCAAACGTTTGCTGGGGAAGACACAGAGCCCCCAGGAACCTGCTGGGTCAATGGAGTGGGAGAAGAGAGTGGCCGGGGTCAACCCAGTTTTTTTAGGCTTACCTAAAACACAGCAGCCAATTATTTAGCACTAGATCAGCAGCACCACCCTTTCTCAGTTGCCTTTCGGAAAAGAGCTGCCCTCCTCTTTCCACTGGCTCTGCATAGATGCCCTCCTTGCATGCTTTGCCAGTGTCAGCTCTGGCATGCGCGGTCCTTGAGCGCCTTGTTTTTCTCACCCCCCCCTCAAACTCCTCCTAGTTCATGGATTTACGGACACGTTACACAGCCCTGGTGACGTTGACCACGCAGCACGTGAAGTACATCAGCGACGCCCTGCGGCGCCTGGAAGAAGAGGAGGTAAGGATGAAAGAGATCAAGACTGCCATGTAGGATCTGTCTCATGAATTTGTCTCCTACCCCACCCACCCAAGTTAGAAGCCTTCACCACCAGCTGTGCTGAGCAGGATTTCTGGGAGTTGCAGTCCAAGAACATCTGGGGGGACCCAAGGCTGGGAATCACTGCTGTAGAGTGCTGTTCTTTATAACTGTTTCCTATTCCCAGCTATCCATTATTTGCAATAGACGGAAATTTTCTGTTCCTGAACTCCCCAGTTGCTTGGCTTAGCTGCCTGTTGGTCATTGTTTTCATTCTCCATGATGGCACCCTCCCCTTAAGCTTGCATCCTACAAAATCTGCACCGTTTGCTTTCCATTATGGATACATTTACCATGCAGAAGTTGAAATGTTAGTGAACATTCAGTGGCATCTCTAAGGCTTTGCTGAGATCTCACAAGGCTCGGGAGGTGGACCTCCAGCGGGCCGTTGAAAGCTGTAAGGAGTCTCCCTCACATGGGGGAAAGGACTTCTCTGTAGGTTCATGGAGCTGGCATTCCACAGCATTTCGTTGTTACTGTTGTTTGCAGAAAATTGTGGAGGAAGAAAAGCAGGAGCACGTGGAGAAGGTGAAGGAACTTCTGGGCTGGGTCACGAGTTTTAAACACAGCGCACAATTCAAAAGCATCCCGCCAAAGAACGAAGAGCTCAGAGAGATTGAGAAGTCCATTTTAGACCAGCAGGTGCGTCAGGGCCATCGGGAGATTTCCCTGTTTTCCTTTCTACTTATATCTTTTGAACACCCAGATGCGTTTTGCCCCCTGGGTCTTTCCGCACCGGCAGGGCTCCGTTTCCCTCCAGCTCCTTGCAGCGCTCCTCGGAGCTGGACCTTCCTGCCTTGCCCTTTTTTTGAACCTCACCCTCTCCTTCTCCTCCTCCTCGCTAGGTTCTGAACGAGGAATTGGCTGCCCGGAAGGAGCAGGTCTCCGAAGCGGTCAAGACGGCCCAGATCTTTCTTGCGAAGCACGGCCCCAAGTGAGTGGCCGCGGGGGCGGGAGGGGGAGGGGGAGAGAAACCTTGGGAAGAGTGCCGTGGTTGAGCTCCAGGAAGGGTTTTAGTCCCTGCTCGACGGAGAGGTTTCAGGCTTCTGGCCCTCAGGGTTTTAATCCCCACCACCTCCATCGCTTGGAGTGGTCGTCTTTTTGCAGATTCAGAGGTGTTAAAACAGAGGTGTGGGGCTGAACAGGGTTTTTGCAGAAACGTGAGAGTCACTGTTGCAAACTTGGTCCAGCTTCCATGCCTCCAGTTTTGGGAAGCTGCTGCCTGCCAAGAATTAAGGTGTGGAGGGTGCTGCTGGGTCACCCGATAGGCGCTTCCTTCTGTTTAGGGCAGGAGTGGGTGAAGCAGAGCCCTCTGGACCTTGTTAGAGCGGAGTTCCCGGCATCACTCAGAATTGGTGGGACTTGGCCGGGTTGTCCTCCAGCCATGTCGCGATGGCTACGCTTGGCCTGCCTCCGCTTTAGCCTCCGAGAGGTTCTTGCAGTGCCACGTTCCTGAACGTCTTGTCTCTTGCCTCCTGACCCCGCAGGCTGTCCGGCCAAGAGAAGGAGCAGATCTCGTCTCAGCTGAACCTGTTGCAGGCGACCTACGACCAGCTCTGCTCCGAGTCGGCAGAACAGCTCCAGCAGCTGCAAAGCCAAATGGCCCAGGAGACGGCCCATAAGGTAGCCCTGCTCTCTCCCTCTCAGGTTCTCCTCCTCCTCCTCCTCCTTGAGTGGCTGTGCTCTTTTCCCAGGTGACGGGGGAGAGAGAGAGAGAGAGAGAGAAGTGACCCACACCTGGAGGCTCATCACTTCCTGCGTAGAGCCCCAGAGAGCTTTCGGAAGGCTGGACGCCGCCCGTTTCGGCCCCTTCTGTTGAGTTTAGGAAAGGGATCTCCTAGGGTGGAGTTGATGACTGAAGTCCAGGCCAGGAGAGGGAGGCCTTCATGAATTTTGCTGAGTAGGAATTAGGAGAGAGGTGAGGATTACTAAACAGTCTCTCCACCAGCGGTGTGGTGTGGTGGATGTCCTACAGTGCTTGAGGGAGAAGCGTTGGGTGGATCAGGTTTCCTTGCACTCGGAGATGCCCATTTTACTGCTTCTCTTGGATCTGAAAAGTCCCTGCCAGCCCCAGGCCGGTCCCTGGGCTTCTCCAGCAGCCTCCTGGGCATAAAGGCTCCTTCGTTAACCATAGGAGCTTGGGTGTTTCCGAGGTGGCCTTCTGCGGGATGGTTAAGAGAGAGAATGTCCATCCAGACTTGTGGCTGGAGCCCAGAAACGGTGTCCTTGAGCCCGGCTTTAGATGGAGGAATGGCAGGCAGCACATGCTTTTTGACAGCCGAGATTCCCCGAGTGAGGGACCGGAGAGGAAGGTGTGAAGGTCAAGAAGGCAGGCAGACCATCCAGTGTGGGCAGAAATAGGTGGGAAAGCCTAAGGGATGAAATTACAGAGAGGGGCAAATTGTAGAGAAGGAGTAGAAGAGCCAGCAGAAGGAACCGAGGAAGCCCCTCGTTCTGGGTTCTCACCTCCCTTTCCTACTCTCCCACCGCCCTCGTAAGCGCCTCTACCCCCAAAATGTCTCCAGGGACCAAAGCTTCAGCCTTCTTTCCGGCCACTTCTCCTGCACCCTTTTGAGCTCCACTTTCAGCCGTCTTCTTCCCTCGTGCGCTTGACCAACGTCTCGAAACACACGTCCTCCTCCTCTTCCTGGTTTGTCCCTGTTCTGGAGTCCTACGTGGTCACCCTTGTATATCACGTGTATGTGAATGTGCTATTTATGTGTCCCATGCAATATGTATTTCTGTGTGAAGTTGTGTTTTAATGCTCGCTAGCTCCTATACTTTGAAGCACTGTGGAACCAACTCAGCCGGGGCAGACGCTGTGGCCAGATTTTTTTTTTTATTGGGGTGTAATCCTGAACAGAGTGAGGCCGGTTTTAAGTGGCAATCAGGCACTCCGGTTCCTTTTTCTGCAGGAGTGTCAGGACACTGCTTCAGCAAAGCTACCTGTCCCTGGAGGATCCTGTATAAACAGCCGGCATCTGAATAAGGCCATGTGATTGTATTGGAAGCTGTGGATGGGTCTAAAGAGGAGTGTTTGTTTTCTTTTTCCAAAAATATGATTCAGACTTCCCTTTGCAAAGGAAGATTTCTCTTGCAGTTTGTTGGCTGGTTTGGTTCAAGTGCTTCATTCGTGCAAGGAGCGTCTGGGGGTGGGGAGGGTTGACTTCAGAAGCGTTTCCCGTCTAGCAAGCCTCCACTTCTTCGCCGAGGTGGTGGAGAAAAAGTTCAAAGCACCGCCATCGGTGTTGAGTTGAGGAAACTGCACCCAGGGCCTCTTCTTCCTGCGGGCAGGACTCTTGGCGCACTGAGCATGATGTGTCCCTATTGGGTTTGTGTTTCACATTGAGTTACTTGTTCAGATTAACGGTCATCCTTGCTTACCACTTTTCTGTTGTTGTTTTTTATAACTAACCACTTGAAGGTTGCACTGAAGGAATTGAGGAAAGATGTGTCTGGGGTGGGGGGTGGGGGGGAAACAGTTCGAGGGGCGTGTGTGTGGGGTGTGTGTTCTTTCCACTTTTTTGTGCAAAACAAACAGTCGCATGCCGGACGCTAACCCCCAGCTTTTACACTGTGTGCGCGCCCTACGGCTGAGCTGCTCCGTAAAGGCTCTGTCTTTAACCGCTCACGACAAACCCTACAGTGTCTGGTAAGTAAAAAGCCTTTTGTGACTCCTGTCTTCTTCTTCTTCCTCCTCCTCCTTTTCTGTTTTTGTGATCTTTCTGACTCATTTTAATCACTGTGCATGTTGGGAGTCCTGATTGTAGCGCTGGGAAGTTCTGAAGGCGTTTCCCATCCCCTGACCCTGCTGGGCTGTAAAATAAGAACAGGTGGATCAGGGCCCCATCGGAACGGTGCTCCCCCATGGCGGAAAGACCACAGTTCCTTCTTAGGATGTTGGGATACGGCGTGAGGGCTGTTGACCTGTGAGCAGCAGCTGCACCCTCCCAGTCTTGATACCCAGCGTGCCCCCAGGGACCATCCCTGGTAAGGCACCTCCTCAAACGTGGGTTCGTGCACAAAAGTACAGTGTTTTCCCGACACAGGGATCCCACATGTACTGAAGAGCTTTCTTCTGACTCTTGAGATTCCCAGCCAGCATGGTTGGTTGACTGAGAGCGAATTCCAAGATCCTAGTTTGGTCCCAAAGCCTACAGAGTTATTCCCTGGAAGGTTGACCTGTATAACCAACGCCAACGTTTCCGTGTGCATCCACAACCCAACGAAACGCTGCCAGATTCTCCCAGCATGGGTTTGTTCTCACCTAGATTTCTGCATTGACACCAATCTGGGCTTGAAGAGCTAACATCTTCCAGCAAAGCCTGGGCTGTCGTTGCCATAGCAAGAGAGCTTCTGGGATGCTGGTGGAGTCCTAGATAGAAAAAATAGGTGTTTCAATCCCCTTTCCCTCTGTGCTTCCTGTGGCGGATTCGTGTTGTGGTTGTTCCGTGCCTCCTGACCCTTCTCCCTCTTTTTGGATATAGAAAAAGACCCAAGGGCACCGTGGTGAATGCATGGCTATTGTTACCATTTCTGTCTGTCTGTCCGTCCATCCCTTTCTCTTTCCTCCCAGTTGTCTTCATGCAGAACAGTGTGGCTGCAAAGCCCCCTCCCCCCTTTTTTTGCTGCTTTTGCTGCTTCGCTGCTCTTGGTGAATGTCCAAAATGTCTCAGCGATGCCACATCCGGCTGGCTAGATTGAGCGCCAAAGTGTCAACAGACAACAACTTGCAAGTTGTAAATCGTCAACCAGCCACGCCCTTGAGGTGTGCCCTCAATCTTTTGCTGATTTGCAGATCTGCTCTCTAGCCTGACCTTTGCAATATCTTTAAAAGACGGATTGAGACATCCGTGGACTCTGGGTGCACTCTGGACAACTGTTAACCATCCTAGTGGTTTCTTTGGCTCTGACTTTGTTCTTTTTCTTCTTCTCCTCCTCCTCTCCTCCCTCCTGCAGGAAACTGAGGGTGTTGCAGGACTGCTGGACCTGAGCACGATGGAAGTCTTCCCCATTTTTGAGGCCACACAGAGAGGTCTTTTAGACCAAGAAACAGGCCTTCGGCTGTTGGAAACCCAGGTGGTCACAGGTGGCCTGATGGTTCCTGGGATGCATGAAAAGCTCTCTTTGGCAGAAGGCCTGGCAAGGGGCATCATAGACTGCAGGGTCTACCAGCTGTTGCAAGAACTGGAGAGGGCCACGCAGCTGGTAGAAAGCACTGCCTTGAGAGGCAAGCGGGTTCTTCCTGTTGTGGCTGCGATGGAGGAAGGAGTCATAAGTGAAAGCATGGGTCTGAAAATCTCCGAAGGGCAGCTCCTCACTGGTGGCTTTATAGACCCTTCCGGTCACAGGAAAATTGGCTTAGAAGAAGCTGTTCAAAGAGATGTTCTAACCCCCCGCCTTCATGAGGAGTTGGTCTCTCGCCTAAGCTCGTGCAAGGACTTGCTCGATCCCAATTCGGCCAAGAAAACCAGCTTGAATGACTTAATGCAACAATGCATCCTCCACCCGGAGACAGGACTGAGGGTGCTCCCAGTGGAACGCCTAGCAGGTGGGATGGTGAGCTTAAAACCAGGCCAGGAGGGGAGCCTCTTCCATGCTGTTGAAGAAGCGCAGGCAGAGAAACAGTCTGCAGTGAGATTGCTGGAAGCCCAGCTCTTTGCCGGTGGCATCGCCGACCCTCAAAGTGGCCACCGATTGACTGTGAATGAGGCTGTGCAACAGAATTTGATCGACCGAGACCTGGCCTGCTCCCTTCTTGTCCAACAGCTGCAGACAGGCGGCATTGTCGACACAGTTACAGGAGAGAAGCTTTTGCTGGATGAAGCGGTAAGGAAAGGCTTGGTGTCATCACAAACGGCAGTGATGACCTTGGAACGTCTTGGGACACTCAGGGGTCTTCTATGGCCTGAGTCAGGGGAGGTTCTCCCGCTTAGAGATGCCCTGGATCAAGGGGCCTTGTCTTCTGAGGTGGCCCAAACAACTCTAAGCAACCGTCAATTCATTCAAGCACTCTACATACCAGAAACCAGAGAGGTCCTGCCGTGGGAGAAAGCTGTGGATCGTGGCCTCCTAAGCAAAAGGGTTGTTGAAAAACTAAGACCAGTCCACCTTCCAGACATTGTGCCAAATATGTCCCTTGCAGATTCACCCGGAAATCTTGAAAAGAACGCCCTGTCTTCGGTTAGCCCAGTGGGTCACACAGATCAAAGTGAGCCTCCAGTAAAAAGCTTGGAAGAAAAGTTGTTGTTCTTTTTGATGACTCATAGTTATGTCGATGTCCACAGTGGCCAAAAATTGCTCCTGGCGGATGGGGAGTTAAGCTGCATTGCTGAAATCCTTGAGCCAGCCCAAGAGAACCGGTCTGATGCTCACCTCTTTGATGGGAGCAAACCCCAGCCACAAGACCGGGATGCTCTGGGGGCCAGGAAGGCTTCAGTTGTGGAAGGAGAACCAGTTTCTAGTGAATTGGCTTGGGAGGAGCTTGGATTTGATGTATCTGCCTCTGAAAAAGAACTCGAGGGAAATCTGCCATCAAGTGTTTGTCCCGCAACCAAAAAGGGTAAAGTAGAAATTGAGCCCCTGCCAGTGAGGGATACAGGAAGTAGCATGAATAAGAAGGA